GTGTAGAACACCTATGAATATTTTCTTTTCTTTAAAAAAAAATCCATTGGCATATTCTGATATTGCTGGTATCTTGTTTCCAAATGCCTTTTAAGTGTTTGATGGAACCTTAGCACTATTAAACAAACTCTCCAAGCAAATAACGCATTGGGGGCAATCGTCTTTATACATGAATCCGAACGGTCGGTATGAAGGATCATATTTTTAACATACCGTTTTCTTCCTTTTTTGATCCGGGGAAGATGTGCCACGTTGTTGAGAAATTGACATGTTTACGTGTACTTCACCCGTTGCTGGTACTGGTTCCTCAGCAGTACTATTTTCACTCACTTTTGCCTTTTTTATAAAGAAATGTAACTTACTCTGGTTACTCATATCAGTGGAAGTAATAAATTCAATAAATTATCATGCATGTGCTAATGTCAAGCAGCTGACTGACAGCATAGCCGCTAATGTCAAGCAGCTGACAGCATAGTCACCACCCTGGCATAGCGCATGTGCGGCACTTCGGTGTTAGTTTCTAGGCCACCGTACGGCTAGAAGAAGAAGATTAGAGACGAGGGGAGGCTAATACAATGTTAGCCAACTTTGCTGAGATGTAGAAATAAAATGATGTTTCAGTATCTTTCATTAGTGTGATCATTGGAACATGGTTAATTACTGTAAAACTTTGAATTATTTTTCCAGGTGGTCGCAGCCCACCTGCAAGTTGTTCTCCAACCACCAGTGTTCCATGGAACATAGTTTAAGAAACACTGCTCTAGAATGCAGGGGGCCTGCTTCGATTTTCAGATCTTGGCAGACCTAGAAACCAAGTGGCTTAAGAATCTGCCAGTATCTAGAACGCACGGGATCACATGGGCTTTTGAAACACACTGGGGCTTGGAGAACAAGATGTCCCAAATCTTGCCCACAGCAGAGCCGATCACAATGTGAGACTGACATCCCTGGGACTCAAGGTTAGCAATTGGGCAGGGTGCCTAGGATGCAGGTGATCCGACTGAATTTTGAATCTGTGACAGGTGGCATCTGTCACGGTTGCCAGTCTTCTTTGATCTGAATTGTAGGATGCTCATGGCTAATGTAGCTGCAGCCTCCACACGGGGCTGAGGGCCCACACAGGCCTGGCTTCCCAAACAAGCTCTGCCAGATTTCTGGGTAGATTCAGAGATTCCAAAGCAGAAGGAGCACACTGGTTATTTTATTTTATTTACATCATGAGGGGTTTGGAACGGCTGCCATTCATAGAGAGATTAAAGAGACTTTTCAGCTTAGAGAAGAGGAGACTAAGGGGGGATATGATCGAGGTCCATACAATCATGACTGGGGTGGAGAAAGTGAACAAGGAAAAGTTATTTACTGGTTCCCATAATGCAAGAACTGAGGGTATGTCTACACTACAAAGTTAATTCGAACTAACAGACGTTAGTTTGAATTAACTTTGATAGGCGCTACACTAGCGCTCCGCTAGTTCGAACTTAATTCGAACTAGCGGAGCGCTTAGTTCGAACTAGGTAAACCTCATTCCACGAGGACTAAGCCTAGTTCGAACTTACTAGTTCGAATTAAGGGCTGTGTAGCCCCTTAATTCGAACTAGTGGGAGGCTAGCCCTCCCCAGCTTTCCCTGGTGGCCACTCTGGCCAACACCAGGGAAACTCTATTGCCCCCCTCCCGGCCCCGGACCCCTTTAAGGGGCACGGGCTGGCTACGGTGCCCGTGCCAGGTGCAAGCCTGCCAGCACCCAGCCAGCAGACCCTGCACCTGGC